TATTTATATTTTATGAGTGTTATGCCTGCATATATGTAAATGCACTCATGTTATACCATGCCCATGGAAGCCAGAAGAGGGTGTCGAATCTCCTGGAGTTACCGATGCTTGTTAGCCACCATGTGGATGATGGGAACCAAATCCAGGTCTTCTGCCATCTCTTCAGCCCCCTCTGCTCCCTCTCTTCAAGCCAGACTGTTGCTTAGGCTTCAAAACAGTCTTTGGAGAATTTTTTTACATTTAAGTAAATCAAAAACCCCACGTGGAGATGCTGCCAGGTCTCACAGTAGGGCCTGGGCTACGTCCTGACACTGGGAGGGTCAAGGAGCCAGGTAGGTGTATCTGGGAGTGTCTTGGTCACTCCCTGCAGGACGGGTAGAGACGGCTGCTCACTGCAGTGGAAAGCAGGGTCAGGTTTGAGGCGCAGAGAGATGAACGCTGGTGCTCAGTTTGCTTTCTTCTTTTTATTCAGTCTGGGACCCCAGCCCGTCATATGGTGCTGCCCACATTTAGAATGTATCTTCCCACCTCAACTCACCTAATCTAAAAAGTCCTCACAGACAGGCCCAGAGGTCTGTCTCCTAGATAATTCTAGATCCTGTCAAGTTGGCTATCAGCATTAACCATAAGATATCTGGAAACTCTCCAAACCTGCTCCTTCTGAGTTTTATGGAGGCTCCAGTACATAGATGTGGTTAATTACATCACTAGCCATTGGTGGCCAGCTCAACCTTTGCCTTTCTCCCATCCCCAGAGGTCAAAGGGTGGAGAGAGGGGTGGAGAGAGGAGTGAAACTCCTAACCTTCTGCTCTCAGAATTCATTCTCTGATGAGACACCAGCCTGGAGCTGTCCGGACCAAGTGTCTCCACCTTAGAACAAAGGACACTGCTATCACCCAGGAGAGACCCTCTCTCATAAAGGATTTGGGATTCCTGTGTCAGGTACTCTTTTCACTCAGGAAATTGCAAGTATCTTGGGAATGGTTAATCAGGAGCCAGGCGCAAAGACCAAGTATTAGCAGGTTGACAGATTATCCCACTCCCATCCAGGAGCAACAACGGCTGACTCGATCTGAAGGTCTGAGCATATACTGCTTATTGTGTCACAGAACCGTGGGCCACTGGCCAGCCAGCTAGAAGAAGTGTGGCATGCTGTGGATCTGAATGCTAATCCTGTGAATGGAGTGACATCTGGGGTGTGGAGCCCTGAGGCAGCCAGAGCCCTATAAATGGCAGAATGGACATGGGCACCCCTGAAGAAGATGCCCCAAGCCCGTTTCTCACTCAGTGACAGGTGAAGGGCAGATGGCTGCATCACTGACCACCTGGGAAGGAGGGACCCTTCTCTGAGGTGGCGTGGGTACAGTGCTGACAAGTTCCCCGAATCTGAGAATGCCAGGAGCCAGGCCGGCCTGGTGCTTTTCATCAGAGGTAGTAGAGCGCTGAGTATGGAGCCCGCACTGGGCCGGGATGCTGGGTTCCAGCTGACAGACTTGTTCACTAAGACTGCCGTCCCAAAATACCACAAGCTGAGGCCCTGGACAACTCACTCCACCCTGGAATCCAGAAGCCTGAGCTCTGGGAATGGTTGTGTGCATTTCTAATCCAAGCACTGAGGAGGCAGTGGCATGTGGATCCCCAAGGCCTCCTTGGTGAGCTCCCAGTCAGTCAGAGACCTTGTCTCAAAAAAGCAAGGTGGATGGCTCCTGAGGATCAACATCTGAGACATACATACATACATACATACATACATACATACATACATACATAGAGAGAGACAGAGACAGGGACAGAGACAGAGACAGAGAGGGGCCAGTCATGTTGGATTAGAGAATGACCCTGGTCCAGTGTGACATTAAGTAATTACACCTGTAACAAGGACCTTTTTTCCAAGGCCACCTGATGCCCTTGGGGTTAAGACTTCAGTGCCTGACCTTGAGAAGAATATAATTCAGTCCTGGAGTTACAGAGTACAGGGATGTGTCCTGGGAGGGGAGTGTAGGTGCCTGCCTGGCTGACACCCATCAAGGTCACTTTCCCTTGGTCATACCTGACCCACATTTGCCTCTGCCAGCTCCACGTTCCACCTGCATCCACACACCTTCCTGGGTTATACCCACACAGTGCACTGTGCCGACTGAAAGCTGTCTCTATGAGGACCTTGAAGATGTCACAAGGCCCTGGAAACCTTCCTTCATGTTGGGCAGAGTGAGTGTGCCCTGATTTCACGAGAGCGAAGGGCAGTTCAGCGAGGCCCACAGAAGTTCTGGGTGAGGCCTTGTTCTGGCCTCAGACATCCATGCAGACAGGAAGGTCCTAATTTGACACCTAACTTTGAACATTCCTTGCAGGCTTCTGGGTCTCATTTAGATCTTGGGACACGCAGGCTGGCTATGATGAGTCCTGTGTCTCTGCCATTTCCAAATTTTCACTGTCTCCATTAACAGATTGCTGGCTGGTTTCGGATCCAAAACCACACAGGCCTGGGGGATGTGATTCAAAGCCTTGGATTCAAAGGAAATTGGCTTCAGAAAACAAAGGAGCTTGGAAAAGGGAAGGTGGCCAGCGGGGTCCTGTTCCCACCTCTGGAATGCCAGACTCCAATGGCCTGGCACTCCTGTCTCCCAGAATGCCCACCATGCCAGGCAAAGGTGGCATGGTGGGTTTGCGAGGTAGTGAGAAGGCAGCCAGATGAGAGCTGATGTCTCCGGCCACTTTGCCTGTAGCTGACTGGTTGACTAAAAGTCTTCTAGGATAGGACATTGCAGTCTGGGGCGGGGTTGGGGTAGGGTGGGGACAGAGTCCTTGTGGTCAGTGACAATTGCAGACTTCAGTCCAGCCTTCCCTCTCCTGAGCCGGGTGAACAGCCACCTCGACACTCAAGTGGGAGACAGAGTGAGTGCCTATGTTATGTGGGGATCCATGGGTTTGAGGGTGTGGGTGAGTAGGACACAGACCCTAGGCAAGCGTGTCCAACCTAGAGCCAAGGATAGCCATGGGTGTGGCCCAAGGCAAAATCCTAAACTTAAAAACAATGAGAAATTCTTTGGCAATCTTTTTTTCCTAACTTGATTGCACAATTCTTGTGAATGAACTTTGTGGAGGACGACAGAGTGTTGCAACATTGAAAGATCGGACACACCTACTAGAGTATGGGATTTATAGGGATCAGTAGTTCTAGTCTCGAAGTGGTAGGAAGGGCCTCTGTGTTGTTGGGGAGCAAGCTAGGGTACTAGGGAAATGATAGGACATGTTGTCCTCTGGGTCTGGAATCTGGGGCCTTTAGTAATCTGGAAGACTATCAAATATAGTCTTCTCCCCGAGACCAGGCAGCCCTGGCTGGATGCAGCACCCAGGATGGGCCCAGGATGCTCCTGGGTTTCCAGAGCTACTTGAAAGTTTGTTAAGTAAATACAACATAGGAATAGGAATGTTAGCTGTTCTAAGGATGGGGGGTCCAAGAAAAAACTACAAAAAAGGGAAATGGCTACTTGGAGTGACGTCCTCCTTCTCAGAGAGGAACCCCATCCCTGGGGAGTACAGAGTTCAGAGGTAACAGACACAGCCATGACTTTGACTGTGGTACTACATCAGGGTTGTACTTAACTCCAGCCTCCTATGCTGTGCAATGGCCAGACCCAGCTGTCAGTCATCCCTCTACAGAGTGATTGTTAAGAAGAAAAGAGACCAGGTGAATAACAGGGAAGTCATGCTCAGGGTAACTTGGCAAGAGTGTCTGGGGCTAGTGAGAGCCCAGCTCTGATGCCTAGCCTGGCTCTATGGCTGCCAGTCAGCATCCAGCCTGGGTCTGAATCTCTGAGATCCAGAGGAGGAAACAGGGCTTATCTATTCATTCATTTCACAATGGGGCAGGGGAACCTTCTCTGGATAACAGAGGCCAGAAGCTGAAAGTGTAAACCAGGCATCTCTGTCATTAGCACACGCTTTCCTGGGGAGAAAGGCTAGGATTAAAAATGCCAAGGACTGACCTACATACAATTTCTCAAATAGATTTGGTAGGACTGTGAGATAAACAAGGCCCTGTTACAGAGAGGGGAAGCAAGGAGGGGCACATGACAGGGTGTCACCAGAACGTGACATCTACACAAAGGCTTCATCCCCTGTTTCTGCCAGAGAGACTTCTCTGACCCTCTGTTTCCTCCTCTGTACTATTGGGATGATGATATCAAGTCCATGTTACTGGAGAGTTTTAAGAGAGGTAATACAGACGAACAGCTTAGGGGTGACAGGATACACACAAGGAAGTGAGGGCAAAGGGGACCAAGTTGTCATTCCCCAGAGTCTTAGAAGACAACCAAGAAACATCAGCAAGCTGGGCTTGGTGGAGCATGGTTTTAATCCTAGCGCTTGGGAGGCAGAGGCAGATAGATCTCTGTGAGATTGAGGCCAATCTGGTCTGTATATCAAATTCTAGTACAACTAGGGCTACCAGGAGACTCTGTTTCCAAAAAAGAAAAGAAACAGAGTAACCTGTATTTTAGTCCTGGCATCATCACTCACTGGCTAGCCTCAGTTGGTCCATCTGCAAAATAGCACTAGTACATTTTGGCGAAGACTGAATATAGTAATCCTGACAATGTCTCATAGATGCCTTGTCTTTGTACTGGAAGGGCAGCCCAGGGAAGCCTGAGTGAGCCAGGGCCCTCCCAGAACAGACCCTGCACTCCCGGGGTCCCCAGGGGCTTCTGCCTCCCAGGTCTCTGGTTCTGGGGTGAAGGGTACAACAGTTGCTAGCGACAACATGTGGCAGACTACCCACTAGTACTGGAAAAACTGAGGTCCAGGGAGGGCAAGGGGCTTGCCAAGAAGAGCTGGCTGGCCATGTAGGCTGTGGCAGGCTCTACCGGAGCAGCAGACCATCCCCTCCTGCCCAGATGCTCCTGCAGGCTGATTACAAGCGCCACACTGATCTGCAGGGGTGTCTTCTCTAGAGCAGTTGGACCCTGGGTGGCTCTCTTACCCCAAAGACAGGTAGTAGCTTGCAGCCAGGCAAGTTTAAAGGATAGAACGCCACACCGCCACATTCCTAAAGAGGCTGTTCAGGCTCCCTGTGGGAGAAAGGGAGTGAAGAACAGGAGGGCAGGAGTGTCATGTCTGAGTTATCTACAGATTAGGGCTATCTTGGAGGCTGCTGAGTCAGGTGGAGGAGGCTAGGACTCAGAGGCCTGGATTTAGGGGAGCTGTGCTTTGGAGCAAGGTTTGAAGGTCACAACTGGTTCCAGCTCCAAGCTTTGCCACATCTTTGAGGGGCTTGACCTCCCTGAACCACCGCTATGGAGCTGGTAAGGGAGCCTGACCTCTGCAGACAGATGTGAAGCTGGAGAGGTTGGTGGGTCTAGACAGAGGGTACATGGTAAAAGGTAGCCAGCACACACAAGTGCCCGAAGTGGATGGCAATCGTGAACTTTCATCTTACGGGTGCTCAGAGTGGGTGACAGAGGGCTGCTGTTTGAATTCAGGCAGTGGACTTGTGAGGTGTCCTCACTACTGTAGAGATGGAAAGAGGCCTTGACATAGCCCAGGCTGGAGAAAGTTTCCCAGGCAGAGTAGAGGGTGGTGCTGAATAGACAGGTGTGAGGAAGGAGGAACTGAAGGCCAAGGAGACAGGGAGGACAGTAAACCCAATAGCCTTGGCACAGACCCACCTAGAGGCTCAAGACACAATTGGTGAAAGCCACCTCCTCTGCAGGACAAAAGGGCGTGTCAGTGCACCAATGCAGCCAGGATTCAGGCCCCACTTTCACACTGGCTGGCAGAGGACCACCTGCTCCCTCTGTCCTCAGAAGTCTTTCTTTTGTGTTTGTGTTCTGACATTATCTTTAATAACAACAGCAATAATAATAGTACCAGCTCTGTTGAATAGGGCCCACCCAATGACCTCACGACCTCTTTATAACGCCATCAACTCTGTAAAGGCCCCTGTCCAAATGCAGTCACATGGCAAGAGGCTGGGTGTTAGGACCTCAGCATGAGAATTATGAGGGAGCTCTATTCAGTCCTTAGCAGAAAAGGATAAAGGATTCTCACATTGGAAGATAGATTTTTCACTAGGCATGGTGGCACATGCCTTTAATCCCAGCACTCAGGAGGCAGAGGCAGGTGGATCTCTGTGAGTTCGAGGCCAGCCTGGTCTACAATAGTGAGTTCCAGGCCAGCTGGGACTACAGGGAGACCCTGTCTCAAAAAGATAAAAAAAAAAAAAGAAGATAGATTTTTCAAGGGGGGCCAGTGTCTCTAAAGACAGAGAAGGGTGACCTGGAGCAGCCTGACAGAGGGGCAGGGGACCAGCCTGTGTGTGGCTCCTTTCTGATGTAATGACATGCTGGTTACACACTTATATGACCAAGGACCAAGCCGGCAGTGCTGAGGCCCCTGGAGGTATGGGGAACATATCTGAGTTCACGGTACACGAGGCCTTAATGTGCTGGGCAGCACACTCCAGTCGGTGACTGTCAGAGGCCACAGGTGGGAGCAGGCTTCATCAAGGATGCTGGCAGTGCAGAGCACAGGGAACAGATAGAGATGAGGTAGGAAGATTCCTGAACGAGTGGCCAGTCTCCTGCCTTGGGCTTGTACCGTCCCTGGCTCCTCCACATCCCCAAATATCTACTCTCAAGCCACCACCTGCTTTACAAACCTCCACAGAGCACTCGGGTGCCACCATTCTCTTTGAGGCCCTGAGGACCCAGCCTCCTCGTTGGATGAAAACGATGTCTTCAAGAATGTCAGCCTCCTCCTCATCTCTCTCCCTTTGACCCATGGCCACACCCTCTCTGAAAACTCTTTCTTCCTCTTCCTTTTAGAACAGGCTCCCACGATGCAGCTCTTCCCCCTCCTGTGCTTACTGCTCCTCAGCCTTGGGGTGGCCACCCTGCGCCGCCATCACACCCGAGAGATGAAGAAGAAAAGCAAGGAGCCCTCGGGAGGTGCCATGGTGGCCCCCAGCAGCAGGGGCTTTGTCTTTGACCTCTATAGGGCCTTGGCTTCTTCAGCCCCTAACCAGAATGTCTTCTTTTCCCCCATGAGTGTGTCCATGAGCCTGGCCATGCTCTCCCTGGGGACTGGCTCCCACACCAAGACACAGATCCTGGAGGGCCTGGGCCTCAACCTCCAGAATGTCCCAGAGAACAAGTTCCACGAGGCCTTCCAGCAGCTGCTGCAGGAGCTCAGCCAGCCCAGAGATGGCTTCCAGCTGAGTCTGGGCAGCGCCCTTTTCACGGACCCTGTGGTGAATGTTCGGGACAGCTTCCTGAGTGCCGTGAAGACGCTGTACCTGGCAGACACTTTCTCTGTCAACTTTGGGGACCCTGTAAGGGCTCAGAAGCAGATCAATGACTATGTGGCAAAGCAGACCAGGGGCAAGATTATAGACTTGATCCAGAACCTTGACAGCACCCACATCATGGTGATGGTCAATTACATCTTCTTCAAAGGTGAGACTTGGGCTCAGACCTGAACTTTCTCTTTCCTTGCTGCTGTATTTATCAAAAGACAGATACCATGACAAAAACACCGACACCAGAGCCACTAGAGACAGGAATATGGGCCTGAGCAGGGCTAGCAGGCCAGGTCCCAGCCCTCCCTTACCCCAAGCCCTGGCTCCCTAGTGGAGTTTCTGCTGATGTCCCCAGGCAAGTGTTGCTGCTTTGAAACTGTCTCTCCAGCTTCTCCGCAAGGGCTGGCCCCTCTCTAACTTCCTGGTCCAGCTCCTGCATACATGTGCTCCTGGCAGTGTACACTGCTTCCCGACCTCCAGCCCTCTGTGCCTGCCCTGCTTAGTGCCCTTCCAGAGAGTAACTTCATTACAAGGTGCTTCCTGAACAGTACCCACTGACCTGTTAGAGGGAGAGAGGAGAAAATTGAGAGTGAAGGAAGAGGGGGAAGGGGGAGAGAAAAATGAATAAAGGCAGGGAGTTGAATTGTTCCTATAATCACCAAGAGTGAGTGGCTGGATCTGTTCTGCTGTTCTAACACACTACTACACACTGGGTGGCTTGTAAGCCACAGAAACTTGTTTCTCACTGTTGTGGAGGCTGAAGTCCAAGGTTAACTACAGGTTCAGTGTCTGCTGAAGCCCCATTCCCTGACTCATATCTAGCACCGTCTAGCTACAGTCTCACAGTGGAAGGGGTATACCAGCTCCTTGGGCCCCTTTTATAAGGGCACTAATCCCATGCATGAGGGCTCTGTTCACACCACCTAATCACCTCCCTTACCTCCTAGTCCCTGTGGGAGTTAGGCTTCTGTATTGGTTACTTTCTGTCGTGATAAATCATCATGACCAAGGCGACCTACAGAAGGAAGAGATTATTTGGATTTACAGTTCTAGAATGAGAGTCCATCATGGTCGTGAGGGGGTGGACGGTATAGCAGAAAACAGCCAGAGCCGAAAGCTCAGAACTCACATCTTCAAGCAGGCACAGAAAGCAGAGAGGTAAACTAGAAATGGAGCAAGTCTATGAGCTCTCAAAGCCCACCCACCATGATGTGCTTCCTACAGCAAGGCTCCCCAAACAGCCCCCACCAACTGGGGGCAAAGTACCCACATACTTGAAGCCTATGGAGTTCATTCTCATTCAAACCACTACAGCTTTTAACATATGATTGGGCATGCACATGAAACCAAAGGAGTGAGCATCAAGTTTTATCCCTCGTCCATGGCTGACCCTGTTGCAGCAGGCTACAGAGGACTTGCACTAATTTTAGGGAGTGGGGTCTGCCTTTGAGCTATTACGAAGTTGGAAGCCATCACTCAGAGTGCTTTGATCCCATAGAAAGTTTCCAAGGAAAGCACCAAAGACGGATGCATGGGAAAGACCTTATAGGAAAGACCCTGTTTCCATCACCGTTACCAACATCCCTCCCAAATTCAGAGAACCCAGTATTGGCGAGAGTATCAAACAGTGCTTACACGGGGACCAGCTGCTTCCCAGCCATGTGTATTTGATTATCTTCCTCAGTAGTTATTTAGCCTTGAGTAATATCAGAGGATCAGAAAAGACTAAGTAAGGGTCAAGGGCCTCTGAGGACAGAAGTTTGGAAGTATGGTGGAAAGGCACGCAAGAGCCCCAGGCTACCCCAGAGTCATATGGGGACTTGCCTTTGAGGTCAAGGGGTGTGGCCACTCCTGCTGCTGGAACTGCTGTGTAATCGTCTCCATCTCCAAGCACATCCAAGGGTCTCTTCTCACACAGTGTTTTTCCTGCCCCATGTTCACCTTTAGCTAAATGGGAGACGGCTTTCAGTCACGAAAACACCCGCCAGCAAGATTTCCATGTGACGCCTGAGACGGCGGTACAGGTGTCCATGATGAGCTGTGAAGATGAGTATTACTACTTCCTGGACCAAAACCTCTCCTGCAAGGTGGTGGGGGTCCCCTACCAAGGCAATGCCACCGCTCTGTTCATTCTCCCCAGCGAAGGCAAGATGCAGCAGGTGGAGAACGGCCTGAATGGGAAAACGCTGAGGAAGTGGCTTGAGAGGCTCACTAAGAGGTACTCTCCAGCCCACTCCGGGGCCCACATACCTCCAGCTACGCCCAGGGACACATGTGCCCTGGAACCACACAGCGCTGGTGGGAAGGACTCCTTGGGCTTTGAACTGTCTCCAAACCCAAAGGAATCCCATGAGGTCCTCAGCCCAGGACCTAGCCTAACTAGGGGGAACCAGGGATGGAAGTTGGGTTTTCTGGGGGTGATACCACAGTGGGCAGTCCAAGTCCAAGTCTAAAGTAAGAGTAAATCCAGCCAAAATGAAGGTGCCAGAGAGGTCTATGAGACCAGAGGGAGAGGGCTTAAGGGTTTCTCAGCAAACTCATGCTGTCTAAGAAAGACTTCTGTTTTCTTCAGGCAGCTCGAGCTTTACCTCCCCAAGTTCTCCATTGAAGGCTCCTATCAGTTGGAGAAAATACTCCCCAAGCTGGGCATCAGTGACATCTTCACCTCCCACGCTGACCTGTCTGGAATTACTGACCACACAAACATTCAGGTGTCTGAGGTAGGTCCAGAGGCTCCTGAGCACCTGATTTTAGAAATTACCATTCCATCCTCATCATCCCTCCCCATCCATCCTGCTCCATTCTATACCATCCTGTTCCATTTCATCCCATCCCATCCCAACCCAACAAATTCCACTCCATCCCATCCCATTCTAGGCCATCCCAACCCAATTCATTCCATTCCATTTCATCCCATCCCAACCCAACAAATTCCATTCCATTCCATCCATCTATTCACCCAACCTAACCTAACCAATTCCATCCCATCCCATCCCACCCCATTCCAACTCATTCCATTCCATTTCAGCCTATCCCATACCATCCCTTCTTTCCCATCCCGTTCTCTCTAATCCCATCTGATCCCATTCCATCCCATTCCATTTCATTTCATCCCATCTCGTTCTATCATGACTTCCTTTTCCCAGGAAAACTTCCATTTTGATCAAAGACTCTTTTGTGTCTTGCCCTTCTTACAACGGGAACCATATTTGGCCACCCAGCTTGGAGGAAGGAGTCCTTTGTGTTATGCATTTCAGAACTCACAATTTGGGGCAAATTTCATCCCTTTTACCCTTGTGACCTCCAACAAAGACTTGAGTCTCTCAGCCTCCTTTCTCCAGTCACACATCATTCTGAGTTTTCTCTTTTTATTATTATTATTTTTATTTTATGTGTATGAGTGTATTGACTGCTTGTAGGTAGGTACACCCTACAAGATGTCATGTAATGTCCAAGGAAGTCAGAAGAGGGCATTGGATTCCCCTGGTACTTGAGTTACAAACAGTTGTTAGCTGCCATGTGGGTGCTGGGACTCGAACCTGGGTCCTCTGCAAGAGCAGCCAGTGCTCTTAACTGCTGAGACATCTCTCCAGCCCCTCACTCTGAGTTTTCATGAGAATCCAATGCCTGTTCTGGTGAAGTTATCTCTGGCACAGTGCCTGGAATAAGGTGGCTGGCTGTTTAGTGATTTCGTTCCCTGCTGTTTACGGCTCAGTTGCATGAATGTTTCCATGGTAGTGATCATAAGGCAGAAGCTTTGCCATACCCCATGAAGATATCCCCCAGTCCCTGGTGGCTGGCTGAGGCCTGGTGTTTCCCTGCAGATGATCCACAAAGCTATGGTGGAGGTGGATGAGGCTGGAACCAGAGCGGCTGCAGCTACAGGAACAATCTTCATGTTCAGATCAGCACGACTGAGCCCTTTGAGGATAGTGTTCAACAGGCCCTTTCTGATGGCCATTACAGAGACCACAAATCTTTTGTTCTTTGGCAAAGTGGCCCACCCCTGAAGTGGAACTCCTCCTGAAGCCCACAAGCCTACACAGAGGGAGCCAGGGGTGCATTCTGGCTCATCCATCTGTTGGTAGCTAGTTATTTGCATAGGTTAGGTTACCTAGAGAGGTGTCATAATTTGTAAGATCAATATCCTGATGGTTGCTTCCTCTCCCACAGTTGCAAGAAATGGATGCTTTAGGCAATCTTAACAAATATGTACTTTTGCCCTGACATTTCATCAGTGACTGGCACTGAGGTCCAGAGAGGTCAGTTGACTTGTCCAAACTCCCATAGCCATGTTAGTGGTCCAGATTCTAAGACATTGGTGCTGGGTCCAGTGCTACAAAGCTCTGTAGAGTCTAGTCCTGGTAGAGGAGGGCTGTCAGGAAGCATATTTAAAAGCTTGGTCCTCCACCTATCTGAAGCAACTGTCAGTTTGACATGGTTTGGAAAGGGGTTCTGGAATGGGGCTATGTGACATGGGAGTAACACTGTCCCTCTCTGGGCCTTTGTTTCTTCGTGTGTACAGTGAGGGATAGAGGAAAGGAACCCCTCCAAAGATCTGTGACATCATTGCAAAGGCTGGGCTGCTTCAGGCCAGTCATGGTTGATTTAAGAACTCAGTTGAGTAACATGCTTGGGCATCAGGGTAGAAGTGTGCAGCCATAAATAAAGTTACCATCTTGCAGGCCTGACTGGGGGTGGGACAATGGAAGTCTGTTCCAAACAGTGGAGCATCAGTTGTAGACAGAATCTCTGAGTTGTACGTTGGCAATAACAATAAAGCATTTTGCAAAGACTGCGTCTCATTGTCTTTACCGAGGCAGCCCTGGGAGTGCTGATACTCAGCACACTCAAGGCTTGGTGCCGACACTTCTCCCCTCACAGTGCCTCATGAGGCACCGCCAGTATCCTCGCTCTACAGCAAAGCAAGGCCCATCCAGACACGTAGCTTGCATGAAATAGAGCCAAGATAAATGTGTATTAGTTAATTTTGTCGTCACTGCGAGCAAATGTCTCATGAGGAGCAATTTAAGAGAGCTCATGGTTTGAGATTAGTTCATCCCAGTGGGGAAGGCATGACGCGGGAGGGGGGCAGGGAGGCTCTCAGCTGTGGCAGCAGAAGCCTGAGTGAGGCTGTTTACTCACTCTGGGTGATCAGGAAGCAGAGACAGGGCAGAAAGCAAGGCTGGACTATAACCCCTAAGGTCTACCCCTCAGAAATCCACTTCCTTTAGCTAAACCCTATCTTCTAAAGGTTCCATAACTCCTAAAACACTGACACCAGCTCGAGTGTGCCAGTGATCAGGTGTTCAAACACATGAGTCCGTGGGGAGCATTTTATATGCAAACCACAACAAATGGGGAGCGGGGCCCCACAGCCATCCTCAGCCCTGGGCTCTGCTGCAGAGGTGGAACAAATGCCAGTACAGGTGCGTGTCAGCTGCAGCACCCTGGGTTGATGCAGGTGAGTTCCCTCCTTTCCAATGTGCTCCTTCCTCTGCCAAAGAGATTAGACATGTTGGAGATAGACATGTGAATGAGTGACTGACTCCTTCACCAAACCCAGAACTGTCCCCCACAGCAGAGCCCCTGCCACCTCACTCTGAATATCTGTCCTGCATTCCACAAGGATGCACCCTGCACTCTGATCCCCAAATCGTATTGAAGATGAGTGTCATTAGAAATAACAAGGTCACGACCCTTATTTTGTTTAAGGTTTATTTTCTCTTTATTTGTGTGTGTGTGTGTGTGTTTACTATATGTGTGCAGGTGCCCATCCAGAGCAGAAGAGGATATTGGCTACCCTGGAGTTGAGATGACAGGTGGTTATGAGTCACCCAACATGGGTGCAAGGAACAGAATTTGAGTCCTCTGTAAGAACAAGTGTTCTTAACTACTGAGCCATATTTCCAGCTCTCACACCTCTTAATTAAAAAAATATATTTTTATTGATTCTTTGAGAATTTCATACAATGTATTTAGATCACATTCAGAACCCTTCCCCTATCTCCACACTTACCTTACTACCCCCTACCTGATTTCATGTCCTCTATTATTATTTTTTAAGGCTTATGGAGTCTAATTTGTGTCCCTAAATGCTCTTCAGTATGAGTCCATCCTCTGGAGTCTGGTCAATTAATTTTGTGTCACATCCTAATAGAAAGCTGACTTTCCCTCTCCCAGCAGCTATCAGTTGCTGATAACCCCTCATCTAAGGCTGGAGCTTCTTGCCCATCTCCCCCTCTTCATGCTGGGATTTTGGGGCACTTGAACTTGTGCATGCTGTCACAATTGCTATAGGTTCACATGAGTAACTGCCTGGCTCTCTGGAAAACACTGTTTCCTTGTGCTCACCCACTACTTCTGACTCTTATCTATCTGTGCCGTCTTCTACAATGATCCCTGAGCCTCAGGAGGAGAGGGTATGATATAGGCGTCCTGTGTCAGGCTAAGCATTCTGTAGCCTCTTATTCTCTGTATGTTGACTGGTTGTGAGTCTCTGTGTTAATTATCATCTGGCACGTGAGGAAGCTTCCTTGGTGAGTTGAGAGATGTATTAATCTGCAAGCAGAGTGATAAGTAATCAGGAGTTGGTTTGATACAACTTCCATTTAGCAGAGTAATGGTAGGTAGAGGTCAACAGTATGGCCCGTGACTTCTCTAGCCACAGGTTCCTAGACCTGATTACAGTGCCAGGGATGGGCTCCATCTAGTGAAGCGAGCCTTAAATCCAATCAAAAGATGGTGGGCTACTCCTATAACATTTGTGCCACTATTGCACCAATGGCCATATCTTGCCAGGTCAGTTGTTATTATAGCTCACAGGGTTCACAGCTGGGAAAGGTCGATGGTTAACTTTTCTCTTCTGGTAGCATGCACAGCACTTTTCAGCACAATGAAAGCTAGCCAGTAGGGATGAAGCTTTGAGGTCAGCACCAGCTTGATTTCTCCTTGTTTGTTCTACAACTCATATATGTAGTGTCATCAGTAATAGGGTCTTACCATCAAGTTCTGGAGCAATGGCAATTGCCAGGATTGTCTGAGGTTTTTTGGGAATCCCCTGGTCAACAACTCCAAAAAAGGGAGTCCATTCCTGGCACTGGGCTTTTTATTTGCTAGTCTCTGGTGTCTAGTAGGGGTATTGTCCCTCCATCGTGGGGTAACTCCATTTAAAATTATTTTATAGATTATATGTGCATACTTTAGGGAGATTCAGCAATGGTAGGTTTCCATATGACTTTTTCAAAATGCCTTCACTGTTCACTGTCCTTCCATCATGCCCTCCCATTCCCACCCCATTAACCCCTGCAATTCCATTATTCCTCTTCTCCCCTTTACATTACTGATTTATATCTCCCTTGTCCTGAAGAACCTCCCATGGCCCCTTACCAGTTCCCTGACTTTTATGGATTTTCCAATTGAAACACACATACTAAAGATCCAAAGCTACCATCCACTTATGACAGCAAGCATGCAATGTTTGTCTTTCTGGGTCTATGTTACCCCACTCAGGATGATTGTTTCCAGTTCTATCCATTTACTTGTGAATTTCATAATTTTGTTTTTCTTAACAGCTGAATAGTATTTTCTTGTGTAAATGCAGCTTACTTTCATTATCCATTCATCAGACCTCCCATGCTCATGGATCAGTAGGATTAATATTGTGAAAATGGCCATCCTACTAAAGGCAAGCTATAGATTCAACACAATCCCCATTAAAATTCTAACACAGTTCTTCACATAAATTGAACAAAATAACCTCAAATTTCATATGGACACACACACACACACACACACACACACACACACAACCAGAATGACCAAAATAATCCTGAACAGTAGAAGGTTGGAGGCATCACCATCCCTGATTTCAAATTGTACTACAGAGCTATAGTATAAAAAACAGCATGGTATTGGCATAAAAACAGGTATGTTGATAAATGGACTGGAATGAAGGACCAGATTTAAGTCTATGCACTTATAGCCAACTAGTTTTTGATCAAGGGGCCAAAAGTATTCATTGGAGAAAAGACAGCATGTTTAATAAACGATGCTGGTCAAACTCAACAGATTTATGTGGAAGAGTCAAACCTGATCCCTATCTTTCACAGTTCACAAAACTCAACTCCAAATGAATCAAGAACCTCAGTGTATGATCTGATGCCCTGAATCTGATAAAGGAGAAAGTGGGGGATACATTGGAGCTTATAGGCACAGGAAAGGGCTTTCTGAACAGGACTTAAATAGCCTGGGCATTAACTTGATTTGACAAATGAGACCTCATGAAACTGAAAAGCTTCTGTACAGCAAAGGACACCATCATTCAAGTAAAGAAGCAACTTACAGAATGGGGAAAAAATATCTTAACCAGTTATACCTCTGACAGAGGATTAGTATCTAGAATATGCACAAAAAACTCAAAAAAATAAACAACCCAATTAAAAATGGGGGCAAAGAACTAAACAGAGTTCTCAAAAGATAAACTGCACATGAGTGAGAAATGTTTTTAAATGTTCAATATCTTTAGCCATTGGGGAAATGAAAATTAAAACTACTTTGAGATTTCATCTTATCCCAGTCAGAATAGCTAAGATTCAAAAAATAAACAACAACAACTACTGGCAAGGAGATGGGGAAAGCAGCACTTAGTCACCGCTGGTGGGAGTGCACACTGGTGCAGCCACTGTGGAAATCAGTGTGGAGGTTCTTCAAGAGGCTAGAAATCTATCAAGATCTAGCCATACCATTCTTGGCGTATACCCAAAAGACTCTGTGTCCTACTACAGACATCCATGTCCACTGCTGTTCTATTCACAATAGCTAACACACGGAATCCTTGAGTTTTTACTGCCACCCAGAATTCTAAGAACCTTCTATGTGCCAGCCCCTGCTGGCCACTTTACATTTACTATCACAACCCAGCAAGGTCTGTCACTGTCCCCGCTTTACAGTGGGAAACAACTTGTAACAGTGAGGGCCTAGACTTTGAGGCTTGGGGGCACAAGGCTTATAGCCAGGCACGTGGCTGTGACCAGATCCCTTGTACAATTGTGTCTGCAATTGTACACAATCAAGCCTCCTTGTGGGGTCATCTCGCCCCCTCACGCCTTTTCCTTGCACAATGTCTAGTCTTTGTTGGCAAATGCTTATCTCTCTGTTTGCCCAACCAGTCTGGGGTCAGGGAAAAGTCTGGTCTGTGGGTATGTATGTGATCAAGGTCCAGTGCTGCCCAAAGTCCCCTGAGTTCTGGAAGCCGGTTGAAGCACAGTAAAAAATGTCATGCTGTCTTTGCAACCTTGTTCTAAATCCAGAAGAGTCTCAAAGTCTGTTTGTTATTTGATTTGATTTGTTGACACAGGGTCACCCTATAGTTACAGCTGGCCTGGGACTCACTGTGTAGACCAGGCTGGCCTCAAATCTCACAGATCCACCTGCCTCTGCCTCTGAAGTGCTGGGATTAAAAGTGTGCCACCACCATGCCCAGCTCTGTTCGTTATTTTAGTAAAGGAGAGAGAGAGACAGAGACAGAGAGACAGAGAGAATAGTAATAGGAAATAAGGTTGGGAGCCCCAAAGGTGAAAATAGGGACCAGTTAGAATAGAACAAGGTGCTAAGAGATGGTTCAGGGAACTTCTGTAATCGGAGTACCAATAGGGTCTAGCTCCAACACCTAACTTTTTTATGCGTGTTCTGGAGATGAGCCTCAAGTCCTTGTGCTTGTAAGGCAAACATTTTACCAACTGAATATCTCTCCAGAACCACTATCAACTTATTTCTTGATGAAAATAGAACCCA